TTTCTTTCTTTCTTTCTTTCCTTCTTTCTTTCTTTCTTTCTTTCTTTCTTTCTTTCTTTCTTTCTTTCTTTCTTTCTTTCCAATTTGGATACTTTTTATTTTACCCTTTTTATTGTCTGATTGCTATGGCTAGAACTTCCAATACTATGTTGAATAAAAGTAGTGAAAGTGGACAACCTTATCATGTCATCTTAAGGAAAATACTTTTAGCTTTTCCCCATTGAGTATGATGTTACCTGTGTGTTTGTATATATAGTCTTTATTATGTTAGGTATATTTTCTCTATTCCTGTATTATGTTGAGGTATGTTTTCTCTATTCATTTGCTGAGAGTTTTTAAAAATAATAAATGGATGCTGGATTTCGTCAAACAGATTTTCTATACCTACTGATATGATCATATGGTTTTATTCTTTATTTCGAAGTCCAAGTTTTTCCAACTGAATGGATCATTAACCTTTTTGCCCCTAGAAAACTGATTACCATCACATAGATCCAATGTTCTATGGACTACAATTTGCAGACACTAGTTTAAGTTTTAATAGTAGTAATGTTTCCCTAGGTCTATACTCAGAAGCTTTATTAACTTAATCCAGGCAATGAGAATAGGATCAGTTATCTAGGTTTCTCGCCACTTGTGTTCAAGACTGAACTATTAGCAAATGCAAGGACAATCCGAAATAGTTTCAAGACTATTTAAATAATATTTTGAAGATGGTGAAGATATGAAAGAAATATACAAGGCTGTCCGTATAGTTTTCTAAAGTGTATATAGTATTTTCTTATACCCTTGAGCCCAAAACACTTGCACAGACCATCTTTTAGTAATGTGTGATTATCAAGTACAAATATTCCAAACCCAAAGGCCATTTACCTTCTGCAGATAAATAAAAAATCCCAAACCAAAATGCTCTGGCAAAGGCAAAATGTGATCTTTTCTTTTCTTTTTTCTTTTCTTTCTTTCTTTCCTTTCTTTCCTTCCTTTCCTTTCCTTTCCTTTCCTTTCCTTTCCTTTCCTTTCCTTTCCTTTCCTTTCCTTTCCTTTCCTTTCCTTTTCTTTTCTTTCTCTTAAAATCTTTCCTCCTTCTCTTTATTTTTTTCTCTTTCCTTTCCTCTTCTATTTTCCTCCCTGACACATCTGACCACATGTACAGTCCATCTTTTCCTGAATACTTTGTCA